TCATCTACATAATCTATATCTTCCTACCAACAGATCACAAATAGAATAGAAATAGACTTTGACTTTTTGAATTTTTCTACCCAGTTAATGTTCTCACAAATAAACCATGTATATAATCTATATCTTCCTACGAACAGATCACAGATACAGTGTTGTATCAATCTTGTCTGTGGTGTTAGCTTCAAATAAATATACTTTCAAATACCTTCAACTATCTATACAATCTACATCTAAAAACACAGAATAGAGACAGACTTTTTTAAATAATAGAAATAGACTTTCATTTTTAAAATTTTTTTTACACAGTTCATATACTTTCAAATAAACTATCCTTATAATCTATGTTTACCTACCAACAGATATAGTATCAATCTTGTCTCTGATATTAGTTTCGAATAAATATACTTTCAAATACAAGATATACCTTCAACTATCTATACAATCTACATCTACAAACAAATCACAGATATAATAGAAATAGATTCTGATTTTCTAAATTTTTCTAGGCAGTTAATATTCTTGCAAATAAATCATTCCTATAATCTACGTTTACCTACTAAAAAATATATCAATCTTATCTCTGACATTAGCTTCAAATAAATATATTTTCAACCGTCTATACAGTCCACATTTACCTATCAACAGATCACAAATATAATAGAAATAAACTTTTTGCTACACAGTTAATATTAATAAACCCTTAATCTGTATAATTATAATATATATCAACATAAACAGTTTAAATTTATCAAGATTGATAAACTATCAAATAAACTATCTGTATGATCTATATAATATACAGCTATCTACCAACATCACAGGGACACTAAAGCCAATATATATAATGTCAATCTTGTCTCTGATATTAGTTTCATATAAATATTTTTTCAACTATGTATACATTTACCTACCAACACATCACACACATAATAGAAATAGATTTTGACTTTTTAAATTCTCCTAAACAGTTAATATTAATAAATCTATATAATCTATATGATATACATCTACCTGCCAACAGATATCACAGAGATACTAAAATGCCAAAATTTCCAAATAATATCATAGAATTCGAAATCATACAATGTCAAAATCGTAATCATCCAAAAGCATGATATCAGAGAAAAGAAATCTCGTCAAATCCAGCACACACCTTGTCCTGTCGATGTTACTCTTCTGCTCGTCACCGTCCCTCCACACCCATCCATCGTCTTCGGCGGCCACTATAGTCACAGTGACGCAACAGAGGAGAAAGAACGTGGCCATCGTTCTCGTTGGCCAACTTCAAACTACGCGTTGGCGAATATCGCCGACTAAAACGAGAGTGAAAGTGAATCCTGTCTTTATATATGCACCGTGTTGGAAGGTGAACGCACCGCGTGGATCGCTTCGAGGTCCCCTTCGATAGCGATCTCGGATCAACAGTCTGTCAGAGTCACTTCGTTGCGCCGATTAAGATCGTTTGAGACAGTTTGAGGGGAATCTGGCGATGGCTCGAATATTTATTGAGAAACGAGCGTCTGAAAGCAACATTGGAAGATGAGAAATATATAAGCATAAATGTGAAATAAATTAATTGAAACGAGTGGGTCAGGGAAATTGGAGATCGAAACGACTTTTGTTTAGTTGCAACCGAAATCTGTCTCGTGTCTCGTACTCGTCCTTCGATCTGGGAAAATCCGTCTACGGCTCGAGTAGGGGAAGTTGATGATTTCATTACAGAAGTGGTTCTCCGACCTCTCTCTTTCAATAAGATCCAGCGAAATGACGTAACGCGACTTCGTCCATGAAGGACGTCCGCGTCGTCCTTACTTCGAGCAATTTTCTCATCCTCTTGTCGTGAATTATCTCCCCGCGTGTGCACGCGAACGAACGAAAAAAAAAAATTGATCTTCACCGTGTGTTTGACTGTAATTTCCAATTCTTCTTTTCTTCTTCTTCTTTTCCTTTTTTTGCGCAAGTTTAAAGTTACATCGACATCGAGGTCATTAGGTACTTGCGTTTTGTAGTATGGATTTGTGTCCATCAAATATCGAAAGTGTTCTCTTCGGATGATTTTGAAAAGTCAGGTGGGGATCTTCTCTGTGCATTCGTATGACAGTCAACATTTGAAAGGAATAACTTTTAAAACATCGTGTTTGAACTTAAATTTAATTTGAAATTAATAAAATTTTGAAGTTTTATCGAAAAAAAAAAAAAAAAAA